TTAGTTACTCCAATTATACATTTTATGGCCCCCTGCTTTAGCTCTTTTCTATGTTAGCAGTTCAAACAGAAGTTCTGAGAGGTGCTTGGAAACAGCATTGAAACTTTGGTTGAGGAATAGTAATATGTATTTCAGTTATTTTACACACTGAGAGAGAGAGAAAGAGAGAGAGAGAATTTTTTCAGACAAAAAAGAAATTCTTCCAAAATATTTTGCTATAAATACCTCACCCCCAACATTCCCTATGAGTCAGGGAGGGAGAGAGGGGATGAAGGAACTAAAAAATGAATCTGTTAGTACTATTAACTGAGTTGTTTCCCTCCACCATAAAATCATATATTGAAGCCCTACTCCCAATGTGACTATATTTGGAAATCTACCTAATACATAGAACAAACACAGAGAGGCAGCCAAAATGAAGAGACAAAAAAACATGTCCCAAGTGAAAGAACAGGATAAAACTCTAAAAAAAGAACTAAACAAAATGGAGGCAAGCAACATACTACATACAGAATACAAAACACTGGTTATAAGGGTGCTCAACAAACTTAGGTGAAGAATAGATCAACTCAGTGGGAACTTCAACAAAGAGATAGTAAACATAAAAATGGACATAGAAACCATAAAAAAGAAACAGTCAGAAACAAAAAATACAATAACTAAAATGAAGAACACATTAGGAATTAACAGCAGAGAATCAAATCAGCAGTTTAGAAGACAGGTACTGGAAAATATCCAATCAGAACCACAAGAAAAAGGATTTTTTAAATGAGGATAGTTTAAGGAGCCTCAGAACAACATCAAGCACATCAATATTCACATCATAGGGGTACCAGAAGGACAAGAGAGAAAGAAGGAATTGAAAACCTATTTGAAGAAATAATGACTGAAAACTTCTCTAATCTGATGAAGGAAATAGACATACAAATCTAGAAAATACAGGGAGTCTCAAACAAGTTGAACCCAAAGAGGTCTACACCAAGACACATCATAATTAAAATACCAAAGGTTAAAGGCAAAGAGAGAATCTTAAAAGCAGCCAGAGAAAAGCAGTTAGTTACTGACAAGAGAGCTCCCATAAGACTGTCAGCTGGTTTCACAACAGAAACTTTGCAAGGCAGAAAAGATTGGCATGAAATATTCAAGGTGATAAAAATCAAGGAACTACAACCAAGACTACTCTTATCTAGCCAGGCTATCATTTAGAATCAAAGGGGAGATAAAGAGCTTCCCAGATAAGAAAAAGCTAAAGGAGTTCATCAGCACCAAGCCAGTATTACAAAAAAATGTTAAAAGGACTTCTTTAAGAAGAAGAAGGGGGTGAGAGGGGACAGAAATATGAATAACAAAATGATAATAACTACATACCTATCAATAATCACTTTAAATGTAAACGGATTAAATGTTCCAATCGAAAGACATAGGGTGGCTAAATAGATAAGAGAACAAGACCCATACATATGCTATCTACAAGACACCCATTTCAGAATGAAAAGCACATACAGATTGAAAGGCACATACGGATTGAAAGTGAAGGAATGGAAAAAGATATTTCATGTAAATGGAAATTTAAAAAAGCTGGGGTAGCAATACTTATATCAGACAAATAGACTGTGAAACAAAGGCTATATAACAAGAGGCAAAAAAGAATACTACATAATGATAAAGGGATCAAACCAACTAAAGGATAAAACCCTTGTAAACATTTATGTATCCAACATAGGAGCACCTAAATTTATAAAGCAAATATTGATGGACATAAAAGGAGAGATCAACAGTCACACAGTCATAGTAGGGGATTTTAACACCCCATTGGCATCAATGGATAGATCATCCAGACAGAAAACCAACAAGGAAACAGTGCCTTGTTGATTTTAAAAGACACATTAGACCAGATGGATTCAATTGATGTGTTAGAACAAAACTCATCCAAAAGCGGCAGAATTTACATTCTTTTCAAGTGCACATTGAACATTTTCCAGGATAGACCACATGTTAGGCCACAAAACAAGTCTCAACAAATTTAAAAGATTGAAATTATATCAAGCATCTTCTCTGACCACAATGGTATGAAACTAGAAATCAATTACAAGAAGAAAACTGAAAAACACAAAAAACCATGAAGTCTAAATAACATGCTACTAAAAATTGAATGGATTAACAATAAGATAAAGGAATAAATCAAAAGATACCTTAAGATAAAGGAAAATGAAACGACAAGCCAAAATCTATGAGACAGTGAAAGCATTTCTAAAAGAGAAATTCATAGCAATACAGGCCTACCTCAAAAAATGAGAGAAATCTCAAATAAACAATCTAATTTTACACCTAAAAGAACTAAAAAAGAGCAACAAACAAAGCCCAAAGTGAGTAGAAGGAAAGAAATAATAAAGATCAGAGGAAAAATAAACAAAATAAAGTCTAAAAAAAAAAAATAGAAAAGAACAATGAAACAAAGGGCTGGTTCTTTGAAAAGATTAAAAAAAAAAAATGATAAACCTTTAACCAGACTCATCAAGAAAAAAAGAAAGAGGACTCAAATAAATAAAATCAGAAATGAAAGGAGAAGTGGAAACTGACTCCACAGAAAGACAAAGGATTATAAGAAAATATTATGAGCAATTATATGTCAACAAATTGGACAATATGGAAGAAATGAATACATTCTTAGAAACATACAATCTTCCAATACTAAGTCAAAAAGAAACAAAATCTGAACTAACAGATAACTACTAATAAAATTGAATCCATGATCAAAAAGCTCATAACAAACAAAAGTCCTGGACTGAATGACTTCACAGGTGAATTTTACCAAACATTCAAAGAGAAATTAACACCTATCCTTCTCAAACTATTCCAAAAAATTCAAGAAGAAGGAAGACTCCCACGCTTAATTTACAAGGCCAGCATTACCCTGATTCCAAAACCAGATGAAGATATTACAAAAAATATATATATATAAGCAAATATCCCTGATGAATATAGATGCAAAAATCTTCAATAAAATATTAGCAAACCAAATTCAGCAATACATTAAAAAGATCATATATCATGATGAAGTGGGATTTATGATCAGGATGCAAGGTTGGTTTAATATCTGCAAATCAATTAATGTGATACACCACATAAACAAAATGAAGCATAAAAATCATATGATTATATCAATAGATGCAGAAAGAGCATTTAATAAAATTCAGCATCCATTTAAGATAAAAACTATCAGCAAAGGGAGAATAGAGGAAATATATCTCAACATAATAAAGGCCATAAATGGCAAACCCACAGCTAAAATCATACTCAATGTGAAAAGCTAAATATATTTTCCTTAAGATCAGGAACAAGGCAAAGATGTCCACTTACAACATTTTTATTCAACATAGTATTAGAAATCCTACCCACAGCGAACAGACAAGAAAAATAATCATCCAAAAAGTCATCCAAATTGGAAAGAAAAAAGTAAAATTGTCATTTCAGATGACATAATACTATATATAGAGAGAGAACCCTAAAGATTCCACCAAAAAACTATTAGAACTGATAAATGAATTTAGCAAAGTAACAGGATACAAAATTAATATTCAGAAATTGGTTGCATTTTTTGAATCAATAACAATCTGTCAGAAAAAGAAATTAAGAAAACAATCCCATTTACAATTGCATCAAAAAAATAAAATTAAATACATAGTAATAAATTTAACCAAAGAGATAAAAGATGTGTACTTGAAAAATTTTAAGACGTTGAAAAAGATACAAATAAGTGGAAGCATATACTGTGCTCATGGATTGGAAGAATTAACAGCATCAAAATATTCATACTATCCAAAGCAATCTATAGATTCAGTGTAATTTCTATCAAAATATCAATAGCAACTTTCATAGAACTAGAAAAAATAGTCCTAACATTTATATGGAACCACAAAAGATGCTAAATAGCCACAGCAATCTTGAGAAAGAAGAACAAAGTTGGAGGTATCACACTACCTGATATCAAACTATACTACAAAGCTATAGTAATCAAAACAGCATGGTACTATCATAAAAACAGACACATAGATCAATGGAACAGAATAAAAACCTTATAAATAAACCCACACCTGGATTGCCAATTAATCTATGACAAAGGAGGCAAGAATATACAATGGAGTAAAGTCAGTGTAATCAATAAATAGTGTTGGGAAAACTAGACAGATATATGTGAAAAAAAAAAAAACTAGACCATCTTTTTACACAACAAACAAGAATAAACTCAAAATAGATTAAAGATTTAAATATAGTACCCAAAACCATAAAACTCCTAGAAGAAAGCATAGGCAATAAACTCTCTGACATTGCTCTTAGTAATAATTTTTTCTGATATATCTGCTCAGGTAATGGAACCAAAAGAATAAACAAATGAGACTACATCAAACTAAAAAATTTTTCACAGCAAAGGAAACCATCAAAAAAAGAAAAAAAAAAGAAAAAAGAAAAGAAAAGATAACCTACTGAATGGGAGAAGATATTCACCTATGATACATCCGATAAGAAGTTAATATTCAAAATTTATAAAGAACTCATACAAATTTACACCCAAAACAATATAATTTTAAAAAGGAAACAATATAATTAAACAATATAATAAAAAATGGGTAGAAAACCTGGAGAGACATTTCTTCAGAAGACGTACAGATGGATAATAGACATATAAAAAGATGCTCAATGTCACAAATCATCAGAGAAATGCAAATTGAAACCACAATGAGATATCACCTCACACCTGTCAGAATGGCTATCATCAATAAATCAACAAATACGAGTTCATGAGGATGTGAAGAAAAGGCACCCCTCATGCACTGCTGATGAGACTGCAAATTGGTGCAGTCACTATGGAAAATAGTACGGAAATTCCTTACAAAATTAAAAATAAAAGTACCCTATGACCCAGCATTTCCACTTCTGGGTATTTGTTTGAAGAAATCCAAAACACTAATTTGAAAAGATACATGCATCCCTATGTTCATTACAGCATTATTAACAATAGTCAAGGTATGGAAGCAACCTAAATACTCATTAACAAATGATTGGATAAAGAAGAAGTGGCACAAGAAGTGTAATATTTCCTGGCCATAAAAATAAATGAAATCTTACTATTTGGGACAACATGGATGTACCTAGAGCAGCAGCCCCCAATCTTTTTGGTACCAGGGACCAGTGTTCCTACTGGAGTCCAATGCCTAATGATCTGAGGGTGGAACTGAGGTGCAGATGCTAGAGCTGGAGAGCATCTGCAAATATAGTTGAAGCTTCGCTTGCTCTTCTGCCGCTCACTTGCTGCTGTGTGGCCCAGTTCCTAAAAGGCTCTGGATTGTTACCAGTCTGCAGGGGGTTGGGGACCCCTGACCTAGAGGGTATTATGATAAATGAAATAAGTCAGACAGAGAAAGACAACTACCATATGATTTCATTTATATATGGAATCTAAAGAACAAAATAAATGAATGAACAAATTAAAAACAGGCTCATAGATACAGAGAACAAACTGATGGTTGCCAGATGGGAGGGGAATTAGATGAAAAAGGTGAAGGAATTAAGTACAAATAGGTAGTTACAAAATAGTCACAGGTATAAAAAATATAGCATAGAGAATATAGCCAGTAATATCATAATAACTACGTATGGTGCCAGGTAGGTACTAGAATTATCAGGGGGATCACTTTTTACATTATATAAATGTCTAACCACTATGCTGTATACCTAAAACTAATATAAAATAATATCGAATGTCAACTGTAATTGAAAAAAAATAAAGATTAGTGGTCTTATAAAAAAGAGAAGAAATATTTTTCTTTTTCTCTCTCCCCACCCTCATGAGGACACAGCAAGAAGGTGGTTATCTGCGAGCCAGGAAGAGGGCCTTCACCAGAATCTGACCATGCCGGCACCCTGATATCAGACTCCCAGCCTCCAAAAATATGAGAAAATAAATTTCTGTTCTTAAAGTCAACTGGTCTGTGGTGTTTTGTTATGGTAGCCTTAGATGACTAATACAATTAGTCGTAGAAAGACTTTTCTGAAAACTATCAAAGAATCTGGGAGCCTAAAATACTTTCTTGCACACCTCAAGTCAATTGAAAAGAGGCTACAGACTCATTTTTATTCAGACCACTTACTTAGTCCTAACTTGTTAATTTTTATTTTAAAGAGAGCAAAGAGAAAGTGGAAGAAAAAGGAAATCTGTTAAGGGGGAGGCTGAATGCCTATTCCTGGACTTGATCATTTGACATAAATGATGCTCAATTCCTCTTCTATAAAATTAAAAGTTAAAATTTTGAATAACCCCAAAGCTTCCCTCCATCAAGAGAATCTCTAGATCTTTAACTCTAAAAGGCCTTTGTAATATTAGAGGAAAAGGAACTGATTTGTAATCGATTTGGCTGAATGTGTTAAAAACCTTGCAGGTAAGAGGAAGTGATAGCTTCTTGCTAATAAAGAGTATTACAGGACTCTCCATAAGAAAGCTGAATTTGTCTTATTAAGGTTTAAAGTATCTTTCATGTCTGGATTCTTTCACTTAGTATAATGTTTTCAAGGTTCATCCATGTTGTAGCATATATCAATAATTCATACTACCTTTTTATTGCCAAGTAATATTCCATTGCATAGATATATCACATATTTGTTTATCTACACATTACCTGATGGACATTTGAGTTCACAAATATTCACAAAAGGGAATATTATTATTTGGGGCTCAAGTGTGAAAAGAAAAATTATAGTTGAGGCCTCTAAAATGTAGTTTGTAATTTCCTCTTCTATCTAAAATGATTTGTTCACTCGACATACACTACAGACTCTGATACAAAGGCAAATAAAGCTTGGTTCTTCCCCTGAGAGTCAAGAACTGGGGAGCACTCGATTAGCCAGTTTTTCTAATGAACTCAAACATTAATAACTATAGGGCTGCACAACTTGATATGCAATATAATCTCTCCATTTAATGCAACAAAATATACACACTGAAAGGAAAGAATATCCTAGATTCAGAAAATCTTAAAGTGGGAGGACACTTCAGGGACCCTCTTTCCTGAAGCCACTTAGGAACAGCAAGCTACTCCCTTGTTGGAGCTTCCACAATATTTGATTCTCTTCCCTGTGACTACATCTTGTTATATTGCAATATCTATTTAAATATGTCTATATATCAAGAGGCATCGGGCAGAGAAACCAAGCCTTATACATCTACTTTTCCCAGGACCTTGCAGCATATCTGATGCATAGCTGGTGCTCAGCATTAAAGCTTATAGACTGACAAAAATTAACCTGGTTGGACAGGAAAAGGAGGTTCAGGTTCACAGCTATTTGTCCAAGGTCTCATAGATAGATGCAGCAAAGCCAAAGGTAGGGAAAAGATTGCAGGCTCACATTTCAGTGCTCTTACCTTCAATAACTTATGGGTAGGAACCAGTAGTATCTCACTTAGACCCTGCTTCTGTGTCCAGTTAGGAGTAATCAGAAAGTCTAGCAGTATAAAGAAAAAAGAAAAATTTAAAACAAGAAGAAATGGTGGAAAAAGAAAGAAAATTGATTTAAATAGACACTTCTCTAAAGAAGTTAAACAAAAGGCCAATACACATGTGAAAATATGTTCAAAATCATTAGTCATCACAGAAATGCAAATCAAAACCACAATGAGATACTGCTTCACAACTAGTAGGATGGCTATGATCAGAACAACTAACAATAAGGTTATAATTAAAAAGACAAGCAAAAACAAGTGTTAACAAGGATTTCTAGAAACTAGAACACTTATACATTGGTGGTGGGAGTATAAAATAGTGCCACCACTTTGGAAAACAGTCTGGCAGTTCCACAAACAGTAAATGTAGAGTTACCATATGACCTAGAAATTCCACTCTTAGGATAGACTCAAGAGAAATAAAAACATATGACTGCATGAAATGTGTACATCAATGTTCAGAGTAGCATTATTCATAATAGCCAAATAATGGAAACAACCCAAATTTCATCAACTGATACATGGATAAACAAAAGTGTCATATATCCTTGCAATAGAATATTAGTTGGCAATAAAAAGATAGTATGAAGTACTGAAACATGCTACAGCATGGATGAACCTTGAAACATTATACTAGGTGAAAGAATACAGACACAAAAGGCTACATATTATATAAATTCATTTATATGAAATGAATTATTATAACAAAAGTAGATTATTGGTTGCCAGGGTCTAGAAGGGCAGAATGAGGAGTGACTGCTAATAGGTATGAGGTTTCTTTTGGGGGTGACAAAATAGTATGGAATTAAATAATATTGTTGTTTGCAAAACTTTGTGACTAATAGCAATCACTGAACAATTCACACAAAAAGCATGAATTTTATGGTATATGGTATACCCAATAAAAAAATACGAAGGGGAGAGAGATAGAGAGAGAGAGAGAGAGAGAGAGAAAGAGAGAGAGAGAGAGAGAGAGAGAGATTGAGAGAGAGAGAGAGGGAGGGAGAGAAGAAAGGAAACTATGTAGCATGGCCAAACTTATGCAAAGTAAATGTCTTTATAAACAATTTTTTTTAAATGATACTATATAGGACCTGGTACAAAATAAAATGAAATATTAGCATCTATTGTGTCTCATGAAGGAGACTGAAGAAAACCAGGGTTCATTTAGAGCCTAGTTGTACCAGGTCCCAGCATAAATATGTTTTCTGTCTTCTCATTAATCTCTTGAGGAATCTACTAATCATTTTACAAGTGAGGAAACCAAGTCTCAAAGAGGTTGAGTAATTTCCCCAAGATTACACAAGAATGTAGGCAGACCTAGGAATCCTTTTCAGATGGGCCTAATTCCAAAGCATATATTCTTTCCACCCTGGCACAACACATCCATAAATATGTTTTCAAATTTTATAAAATTCAGTTTCTTGCAAGTTCCTCTGGAAGTTGCGAAGTAAACTAGAACAAACTTATCTTCAAAAGCCTATGCAGACGTTGGACAAAATTGATATCCCTAATGTTCCCCCTTATTTGTCCCACCTGCCTTTCTGATCACTTCCTCCATAATTGTCAAAGTTGGAGAGAGCATTTTACCCCAGAGCCCCACCTACACCTGTATCCCAGCAGGATGTGTAGTTCATCTTTATAGTTCCCAAGCATTCTACTCTACTTTGCATTCAGTAGAAGTTCAATGCATGATTATAGCGATTGAGGAAACAATTTCTTCCCTTAAAGTTCTCATGATCCTTTTAAGACATAAGTTGTGGACACAGTAAAATAACCATTTTACGACTTTATGACCAGGTGTACCCGAAGAAACCTTGTTTGTAGGACAGTGTAGCTATGGACAGACTTGGTAGATGTGAAGCTATTTTCCAATCTTTCTTATAGAGAGTTATAGAGTGATGGCAGTGGCCATCTTCCACATAAATAATAGGCTTATAATCTATAGTTTTCTTGGGTGGGACCATGTGGCTAGTTCTAGATAATGGGTTGAAAGTCAAGGGGACAGATGTTACTTCTTGACTGAGCATAACCACTGATATCATATACAGCTGTTTTCCACTGCATAGTGGCCAGCAACTTTTTGGGGTGGTGTTTGCTCCACCAAGCACGAGAAAATTGAGAAGAGCTTTCAAATGACCCATGTGAATATTTCTTAAGTCACTAAGATTTTGAGGTTGTTTTGTTTTTACAGCATGACCAAGCTTATGCTGACTGATTTAAATCTCTAAAGTAGAGATTATGTGTGAAAATAGTGAGAAGTACATTTTAACTGGAACATGCTTGACCATGAAGAACTGGAGGAGGTAGGATCAGAAAGATAGACTGGGCTCAAATAACACAAAGCCTTGAAACCTAGTCTCATGTAGAAGGTGTATGGAAGAAAGAAAGCACTACAGGAGGGAAAAATAGTTATGTTAAGCCCAGATAACTATTTACAGAAAAGAAACTAAAAGTGGAAGAATGAACAGTCATTAGTAGATATCAAGACATAGATGATATCTTAACTTTGAGATCCAAAAAGAGTTGAAGATGAACAACTGAGGTCAATGTAAAGAGGCCATTAAGCAGGAGATGCCAAATGTCAATCCAAGAAGTACGAGAGCTCAAGGCTGAGAAAAGAGCTGTTTTAGTTTTCTATTACTGCCAAGTCAAGTTACCACAAATTTAGTGTCTTAAAACAATACAAATTTATTATATTACAGACCTGTATATTAAAAAGCTAACCTGGATCTCACGGTCTAAAATCAAGGTATCAGCAAATTTGAGTTTTTTCTAGAGGCTCTAGGACAGTATCCATTTCCTTGCTTTCCCCAGCATCTGGAGGCCACCTGCATTCCTTGGCATATGGCCCCCTTCCTCCGTCTTCAAAGTCAGCAATATAGCATCTCTCTGACCCTTCTTCTTTTGTAACATTACCTTCTCTGAACACAGCTAAGAAAGGCTCTCAGTCTTTAAGGACTCATGATTAGATTGGACCTATTCAGATAATCCAAGATAACCTCACCCCAACGTTTAACATTATTACATCTGCAAGGTCCCTGGCACCACACAAGGTAACTTATTCTCTGGATGTGGGGATTAGGACATCATCATCTTTGGGAGGCTATTATTCTGCCTACCACAGTAGCCAAGTATTAAGAATGAAGACAAGTCAAGGTATCAAGAAACAGAATGTGATACTGGACAGAAGAATGGCTCCATTTTGGTGTATGCTGTATACAGTGGCTCTTGTTCTGAGGCCCCTAAAGGGCAAGTTCAATGAACTAAATGAGAAGTGATTAGGCCTGTACTTTGCTAGTGACAAGGAATAGTGTACTGCAGACAGCAGTGCCCATGATTCCCTAAGAATAATCCTTTACATGTGCAAAGAAGAGGCTCAATAAATACAGACTGAATGAATGGAAGGGTGAACAAGACATTGACCAAATAAATACGACTTGACAACAGTCTGGATACAGAAGGCAAAAGAGACAGAGTATAAAAATAATTGACAGTCAGTGAAGCATCTAGGAGAGGCACGAGGCTAGACATTAAAGAAAACATGGAAGATGGTTACATGAAATTTCTTCTCAACTGTGCTTTGAAAAATCCCATTGTTCTTCAGAATGTAATTTCTTTTACAAAACTAAAAGAATGAACATACTGGCAAATAGATGTAAGCTAAAGAAATGTAAGAAGTTATATTAATCATATGTTTAGAAAAAGATAATTGGGCAGATGGTTTTCAGGGAACCAAAAACTAGACATAATATTTGTGAAAAAGAATTGAGGGAACTTCTAATTAGGAAAGTAGGATTGCTTTAAAGGGATTTTATCTTTAAATAAATCTAAAGAGATAGGACCATGTTTTAATTATAAAACGTTTTTGAATGTGTGTGCCTTAGATCTCTGCAGTAGAGGTATGCTGCATCTGGGTCCATTGACTCAGTAAGATGTAGTGAAAACTGAAAACTATAATAAATCATAACCCCTGTGGGCAACACCTGATTAAATTTCTTTCTGGCTTTTACACAATGGTGGCAATGGCTGTAATCCAAAATGTAAACAAAAACTCATGGAAGCAACAAACACATTTAAAATATATATATATATATATTATTTCCCAGTCCAAAGAACTTTTTGTCTAAGACTTCATCTGTGACTTATTCATATTACTGAGTAATTCCACTCAGTGAACATAAAACACAAATGACTACAAAAAGACAGCATTTACATAGTCCAATGATTCCCATATATGGATGATAGAGGTGCATGCCAAGAAGTTTGGCAATTCTTTTTTGAAAATTGACTTAATAAGATGGTGACAAGTGAAGTGTGTACATGGTCAATTCCATGATAACCCAGACATTTTATCCTCATCTCTGGAAAAATCAAGCCACTCATTCTCCATTAGCAATGTGCTTTAAAGTAACATGTAAATAATGGGCAAACTGCCACAAGTCAAATTTGTTAAAAAACAGTCCCATGGTATAAATAGAAACCAGAGCTATAACCATTACCGATGTAATATAATAGTCGATGAGAATGACACAACTCTAAAACCTCTTATTTCTTGAAGCTTGCTCCAGGGACTTGACAAACTGATAAACAAGGACCAAAAGAATTAGTTCAGCCTGTCACTTGCATTATGGGTTCTTCTAGATATCCACACTGATTATCCTACTAATGCGGATTTTCTCTGGTTAAACATTAAACTTATGCTGGCTTTCCCTGCCACCCAGTACATTCTTGTTGACCGTGCATCTGTGTGTGAGAGGGCTGCTTACCAAAGAGCACTATCAACACAGGAAACGAAACAAGATTCGAAATTCCCATTGGGTCTTTCTGCTTCTTTATCAATATCTAAAGGGGGTTGCATAATTGGGAATTTTATAGAGACAATGAAAAAGAACTAACCCCATATGAAGGAAAAGTCAACAAGTATATGCCAGTCCACAATACGCATAACATGCAAGCATGAGAATGTCTCTCTGGAGTTTACCACCAATCTGTCTAACCT